CAAGTGTAAGTTTAGTATTGTAACTCTGTATAGACATCATTGATAATGAACTTATAATTTAGTAGTTTTTTTTTAATAACGTTATTATTATTAGGGTTCACGTGGAGTTGTGCAAGGATGAATGTGACGGAAATTATGATGCAGTGGTAGTTGTGGCAACAGGCGTCAGTGAGAATGACCTCGGAGGGTGTGTTGCAAAGTTTCGTCCTTATTTAACTGCGTATAAAGAGGTAACGTGAATTGTGCTTTTAATTTTGATCCAAAGTTGAATAAATCTGGAGGAAGGAATGTTTATAGGGTCTGTTTTTTTACTAGCTTTCAGGTTACAAATAAATATGTGTGATTTCATTTAGGGAATACTGTTATAAGGCATATAAACCCAAAGACCTTTCTCCCCAGAAAAAAAAAGTTAAAAAAAATTTCTGAACATTTTTCTGTGGAGTAGACAAATGAATCAAATTTGGCTGAATAGTGATCTGATTGAATCTCTTAACTGACAGATTATTACCGAAGTAGAAGATTAAGGAACAATAATAATGGAAAAGTGTTTAGATGTTTTTATTATTTTGTTTTTATCTACTAATGGAAATTTTAAGTAGTAAACCAACTTTTGTTAATTTTTCTCTATCGGTGAAAGTGCTAAGTTCCAATTTACAGGTACTAATGGATGTATAGTATCCAATATTGTGTATAGTTGCTTTTTATTTTGAAATTGTACATCACAGTTGAATTGTTGATATTCATATTTAAAGAATTGAAAGTGTTGTCTTCTAAATGATTTATCACTTGTGAAATGTCAGTGATGATTGTTTCGTATTGCAAAATTTGTGGAGCTTGTAACTCTCGCAGTAATATTCTAAAGTATACTATTTAGCTATTAAGATTTCTTTTTGTTTTTTTTTCCAAATTAAAAAACAACAACAAATGAAATGTGTATAAATCTTGCAAGAAAAAAAAAAGAAAGAACCTTTCACAGAATCTTAAGTAAGTTGCTTTCAGATGGAGAAGAAAAACCTGATTTATTGTTTGGGTTATTTGAAGTCTTTAATTCATTGGTTAGTACACCTGTAGTGTAATGTAGTTCAGTTGTTCTCAGCTGCCAGACTGTGGTTGTATTTATTGGTTCAAAGGAAAATTCAAAGAATGTGTGGTAGTTTAAATAGTTAAAACAGTGACCTGCTATTAATCATCAGTAAAGTGTCTCTTTAGTTGGTTAAAAAAAAGTGTGTGTGTGTGATCAGTTATGGGCTCAAACCTGGAATCCAAGTGATGAAAGAGTTGAAACTGCCACAAAAAGTACTGGCTCCCAATATGGGGACCACTTTATGATCCTGATACGAGATGGGTCTTGTTTGTGAGAAAAGAAGAACGTGGGAGTTTAAATAATTAAAAATCCTGCTCGAGGGAAATGAAAATGCAAGTTACTAAAAATTTGTTATTCTTTTCTGAATAAACATATTTTTTAAATTCTAAATAATTTATTTGAAAATTTTTGTTTTTCAGTCATATGTAATATATATATGATACGAACATCCACATTCTGCCGATATTATTTATGTTGTTTGTATACTAAACAATAAGTTCGCGCGCGCACACACACACACTTACACTTACACTCATTCCAAATGGTTTGTAAGCTTTTTATGAAGATTTTGTAAGTCTGTGATGTGAAAAATGTTGTGTATCATTAATATGCTTAAGAATAATTTTGATATTTGAAAAATGGCCATATTTGTCTGGAACTGTTTGTTGCTTTGAATTTGAGATGTACCGTATTTTTCGGAATATAAGACGCACCCTTATTTTTAAGACAAGGTTTTTGGGAAAAAAAAGCTACAGTCGCATTTGAAAGATTTTTATTGAACAAAAATTCAATTTGTTACTTTAAAAATTAGTATATATTGTTCTAAACACAAAAGAGCTCAAAACATCAAAATAAGAAAATACTGTAAAAAAAAAAAAAAAAAAAAAAAAAAAA